CATTTCATCATTCTTATTGTTGGTTTTCTTTGATATTACCTACCAACACCTCACAGCCAAGGCAGCAAAGGAGGGACTTGAGGGTGAACGGCAGGTTGTTATTTCTATACTAATTTTAATGTTGTTTAACTTGTTTTCAGATTTGAAATACTGTTATAAAGTGTAATAGTGCTCTCTCCTGATGCAGTTGTGCTGTATCCTTTCCTTGCATCTGGTTCTTTTGATGTAGAGATGTAAGTGTGGCCTTTTCAATTGCGGCCTTTTGCTTTAGATGGTGAATATGTTTGGGGCAATTACAATCACTTACTTCCTGGAATTATCCTGAGTGTTTTGATTTACTTGATCATGTTACCTTAACAAGAGATATGGCTAGATGTTGCCTTTGACATTCTTTATGCAGGAGATACAAGTGTTATTCACCAGAGCTTGAAAGAAAGGCATGAGCTTCTTCACAAGGTTGTGAGGCCCATAAAGGGCCGCTTGGAAATTTTAGTTCCTAACGGTGGTCTTAATGCTCATCGACCTTCTGGTAAAAAAAGTTTCCTGGAATAGATATATTGTTAACTTATTTTTAGTTATGATCAAATCTTTTTCCTTGAACAATAGTTGGCCATTATTTATTGTATTGGAATAGAGCAAGGAAGACATTGGTTTCAACCATTGATGTACATGGTTTTTTAACAGCATGTAATTGCCAATATTGAAGGTCGCCTTTGTAGTATAAGTGCCGTTTTCATACAAGGCTATGGATGACTTTTGACAGGAGGGTAGCCCGAGAGAGATGAGACCAGTGTAGTTTGTTTGTTGGCACCCAAATTCCAACAAGGGCTTTGATATTTTATGCCGCATAAGATGGGGGCGTCATAATTTCAAGCTTGATGTTGGAATCTGTGGGGCCCACTTGAACTTTCGTAAATTGGGTCAACTTGAGATTTTGTTGGTCATGTGCCATCGCGCTGTTTGGAAATAGACCAGCAATTTGATGAGAAATATGATGTAGTTCTTGCAAGAGTTGTAGAGACCATATGTCAATCGAAATAAATATTTGGAGGTTTCATGAAGAAATTAAAAAATATATAAATGTGGTGAAGCGTAGCCTCCAAAAGGAAATTTGTATTTGAAATGAAGATGAGAATCTCGTTGTATTTCTTATAAGTCTTTTCATAATGATGATTAAGATGAGGATGTTTGTTCTGATTGACTATTGGAGTTTTTACACAAAGGGAGCAATTGATTTAGATGAAACTTTTGTTTCCCTTCTAGGAAGTACGAATACGGATACAACAAAACCTCAAAAAATAGGATACGGATATGGTCAGGATATGTTAATAATAAAATATTTTTTAAATTTTACTCTCATTTAATGTCTAAAAAATTATAATTTTTGTAATTCTTTAATAATAGTAAGCTAAATTAACAATTTTTACCTTGAAAAATGTGTAATATCATCTCATTATGATACATCTATAAAGTGAATGTGACCAATTAAAAGAATCAGAATATTTGCGTGCAAGTATTTGTTTCTAAGATTATACTATAACTAACTTTTTTTTATACTCTTTTGACATGTAATAGTAGATAATACTTAAAAAATACACGTGTCTTCTAAGTCAAATAGAATTTTGTTGATGTTTTGTATTGTATGTGAGCTCAAAAGAAGAGTGTATAGATTAAAATTAAAAATTGTACATTTTACTCCATGTGTAGAAGTATCTTCAGAGTATTTACATATTTTATTAATTATTGGATACATATGATGCATATTCCTCGAGTATCATATCCAATACAATATCCGACCGTGCATCATAGTTTCCTAGACGCCAAAAAACCATGATACTCTAAACCCGACTACTTTGCAACTTGTAACCAACTGTATTATCCCTGTAGAAGCATTGAGATAGTGATCAAGAGGTCCAATACAAGCCTAGTGCTCTTGAATATCCATTCGAGACATGTGGGTTATACAAGGTTTACTTCTCATTCCAATGCCAATTTGGGTAGGATTTTTTCAAGTCATCAATGTTTGGTGGATCATCAAAGCAAAGCAGTCTTTTTCATGTTCTCCGAAGGACTTGTGTATCAGATTTGGAATCCCTAGCTTTCTGTTAAAAGTTGTAGAGTTAGTTGCATGCATTCTGAAACAATCGGCAGCCCCAGGTGTGTTGTGGAGCTATTGGATGGCGGGCCCTAGTGTGAGAATGACATCTTTCCGTGACTTGGTTCATCCAAAAGTCCAAAAGTTTGCAATAGATAAACATCTCAGGGCACAAGAACTGATTCCTAATTGAATTGTTCCAACAACCTATGATTTCCCCTTTCAAAACCCCTTTTTGCAAGATAGAAGAAGAGATGAGGTCATATAGGGAGTGTAAAAACTGTGTTGGAACTTGGAAGTAATAGGAAATGTTCATGTTGAATACGTAAAGCCTTTCCAAAATTGTTTATGTAGCGCCTAATTATTGTTGCTGGTTGCCTGACCGTCAGTCTTGATTATTTGATTCTCGAGTCCACATCCCGAATCTGTTTGGCATTAGATTGTCTGCTGGTTATTTCAAAAGAGGAATTAAAACAACTGTGCAGCTAATATAGATAGGCAAACAGAATAATTTTTACTTATAAGATTAACCCCTTCCTTGCATTTTTTTAATCACTGTTAATGAGTTAGAACTCTGTATGTAGTGGACAAGCTTAGAAAAAGTTTAAGAGATTAAATGCAAGTTCCCGAGTAATAGGGCCTGTGGAACGGAGTGGCAAGGTTGTTATCACTTGGAAAGGAAAGTCCTGTCGAAGATGGGACTTCGTTATTTAAAGGCTCGACTGAAAATAATGGAGCTTATCCTAGAGTCCAACATTTCAGAATTAAAATACCCTCTTCAAATTCAAAATGGAGATTGTCATATTCATTCTAAGTTAATGTCCTTCCCCAAATTCTTCCACGAGGTGTGATGCAATTATTATTGGGCATGATGCCTAAGAACCTAGTTTGATTGCCTAGGTGTGGCTGTGCTCCCTTTCCTCTATTCTTCTTCTTCTCTTCCCTCTTTTTCTCTTAATTTTCTGTCTTTCCGAAAGTTTTGTCCTTCCCTTTGATACATTCTGTATCCTATTTCACAAATCCAATGCCTTGCCTTCTCCGATTAATTAACTAAAGCACTCAAATAACCTCAACAGCTCTGGTTTACTGTTCAAAGGTCGGCATGCATAGCAGCCTTTAGCGTTTGCATTTTGTACCAACCATAATCAGCCCCAAATTTATTTTTTTTTTGGGTTTTTTTCTGTATGTTCTGCTGCATTTTTAATATGTTGCTGACGTCTAAAACCATCCCACATTAATCAGTCTTGTGGAATAGTTACAAAAAATGTGTGCGTGCATAGTTCAGTTCTATATTGACTAATTGCAGTTTGAGTTTACATACAAAAAGATAGTCTTGTGCATTCTCCTATATTTGGGAATTCCTTTAGCTGTCCTTATTGGGGTAAGTTTTTCCAAACCACACCAACCATGAGTCTTAAACTTGACGTCCAACTGCCTTTTCTTGTGTCTTTGATATGGCCTTACATGCCTTGGTTTGGAGAACCTGATACTAGTGTCTGATGATTGATATGATAATTTTACTTCTTTCTCCTTGATATGTATATCCACAAATATTCAGAGTAATTAAGAAAGCCACATACATCAAATTAATGTGATCATATGATGAACATTAATTTGATACCTTGAACTTTCTTAATTGATTTTTTTTCACTTTTCAAATGTTTGGATAAGCCTGACCTGTTCTTTCAATTATATCTTCATAATTTTTGTTGTTGCTGCACATCTTTTAAGTAAAATGGTGCAGGTTAATCTTGTCATGAAAAGATGCACATAATTTATTCCTTGGATTTTACTGGCGATTTTTCAAAAGCTGCATGTTTGATTATTTTTGGTGGTGCCGTCTTTATCTCTCAAACGAAATTGCTAGGTTCTTTTCTACTGCTGCTTACTTGTATTGGCCATACAGGGGAACCATGTTGGTCACTTATTGCTCGCAGTGTTGATGACGTTGAGAGATTTTTCAAAGAGACAATAGAGAACAGGTCTGCAATCTTTTTCCTTTAATCCGCAGTCCAACTGGTTATTCCAACAGAGCTTTTATTTAATGCATAGAATATGGTGTCCTATTAAGTCTAATGTCAGGTAATCACAGATAGTTGGTCTTGCTAAAATTGTTTTACAGTGTTATACTTTTGGCATTCAGTTTTCCTAGTACTCTTACAGATCAATTGTAGGAGGCTAGTTATCAAAGTTGGGGAGAGTTTTGTAGAGGGTGCATTCATGTCATTTACACACGAAATGCAGGACAAGTACATCATTGATGCAATTTGGTATTATGTTTTGGTATAAACATTCTATACCAAAACATGGTATTATGTTTTGGTATTATGCAAACATCTTTCACCTATAATTTCATGCTAACATCGGTTAACTATGTTTTCAAGCTAACTAAATGAAGGTAACATATGATTTGACTGGGCTTATAATCAGTTTTTTCATATGAGCTGAACAAGAAGAGGACACATTTTTTAGAAAACAGTGGTATTAAACTTTAATCCCACGTGAATATCTAAAATCTAGTGGGAATGAATAATTGTAAATTTTCTTAAGCAAGAGAAAGAAGAAAGAGAGGAGAGAAGGAAATTCACATGAGAGAACAGGAAACTAAAATTGGTATTTATCCTTTTCTGTTTATATATTGACGAAGAAAAAAAAAAGGATCCAGTGTTAACCTTTATATATGTCACTGCTTGCCCTACAGCTGCAGCAGAGTTATTCTCCATGAATAGCTTGTAATTAAGTCTTATTTCCTTGAAGATTTAGTGACTGCATCAGAGTTCAAAGAATTGGATGAGTCTGGTACAAATTAGCCAAGTGATATTTGACTAGGCACACGTCTGTTTTGATAAACCACAAGTATCTCTCTCGACTCTCGTTTGTTGGCCGAGTTATCATCCTCATCCTCGAATTGCGGAAACCCACTTGATATCGTTCTGCGATGCCACAGTATAGCTTGAACCTCTTCATGTTCAATTTCTTTTGTGTAGTATTTCATGCATATGGCCTTACACCGTTCCACGATAGCATGATCAAAGCTAACTCGATGACTGAAAGTGCAACCTTGAACCATTGAGTGCTTCACCATCCTAATGGTAAGGGTGTTTTGTGGGAGATGGTTGTCTTGCAACGAAGTGATACTTAGAGGTCTACCTTTTAGCATGGTAGCAAGAAGGTTGCAAAGAATCTTCAGGTTTAAACAAATAATATATAACTCTTATGGGACCCCTAAGTAGAAACCTTGGTTAGTGATGGGAGAATATAGTAAAAAGCATGGAATCTGACTACTTTGAATCTTTTGCCTATGGCTTATCTTAATTTGGGTTGAGAACTGAGGTCTAAAGCAACTATCAAAGCCTGGCTCTTGACTAGCCAGATATTCATTTCTTCGTACCTAGTGATCTTCAAGAAGGGATCTTTATACGGCAACCACTTGGGAATGGCGTGCATGAAATCTTTAGAAACATGTAAGATTTTTTTTTTTGGGCTGATTATAGGTTAAAGTTGGCTGTAGCCTTGACCAGTTTCTGAGGGCATGGTTCATTCACTACCATACTTCTGGCGTATCCATGTCTGTACTATATATAGATGCCACTATATTGAAAATTTTTTGATTGCTTGTATTACCCTTAGCAAGTTTTTTAAATACAACGTTATATATTTTTTACCTTTCCACAACTCCATTATCTTTTTGTCCTCATCAAAAAGCCCAACCCTTTCATTTTCTTTGCTTTTCAAATTTGAAATGATCTTATAATTTTTTTTTAAATATCTTAAATAGTTATATTCAGCAAATTGTTTTACTTCAAATAAACACTCACAATAATATTAAGAAATCGCATAAGTGAGGTGAATTTTGTTTTTTTAGTAATTTTAGCATTTTAATCTTATTTATAATTTGTAATCTGTAAACAGAATATTGTACAGTTTTGTCATTCCAAATCCAAAATCTCATCTGTTGCTAATGTCTTTGTTGAGTGATGGTAAGTGTCACAAGTCACATTGTAGGTTTGTGGTTCAATTTATCGATGCCCATTAGATAGTTGAAATCTTGAACGCAGTGCCTAACAAAGATGTTATATTGTCATTTCATGCCTACATACACACGTCCTTGATGTTCTTAATGCAAGTGAGCCCAAGCTGAAACTACTAAACTAAAGCTGGTTTGGTTTCTTCTTAAGTTGACAAGTTTAAAAGATCAGTTCATTAGTTGTTAAGTTAGATTCACCTTAGCTTGAGCTTAGGTACCTAGTTGATGCTGGAATTGGTTTTGTTCGGTAAACTTGGCAATGGAGTCACTAGCACATCTGCACTACTCCTGTTTCAAATGGAAATCCTATCATTTGGTTGTCAGAACAATTGTCCTGAATGATGTCCGTGATCATTGAGAGCTTTTCTAAACCTGAGTAAGTTATGAACTGTTGGTGTATCTATTTCTTATGTTTAAACTCATTTTCACCTTAGAGATGAGGGGATTGTATTGAAAGACTTTGGCTCTAAATGGGAACCGAGTGATAGGAGTGGAAAGTGGCTAAAGTTGAAGCCTGAGTACATACGTGCTGGATCTGATTTAGATGCTCTCATCATAGGTTTGTAATTGTTTCTCTTTCAGCTTTTTCTCCCCTCCAAACGGTGAATTGCACTTTTTTTTTTTATTATCTTATGGTTGCTTCTGAATAGGAGGCTACTACGGCTCTGGACGTCGGGGAGGAGAGGTGAGAATTCCATCTGTCCCATGAGTTATTTGCTCTCTGTCTGTCTGTCTGTGTGTGTCTGTTTTTGTTCCATTTAATGTAACTTCTGGATATTCGTGTATAATTGAAGGTGGCTCAATTTCTATTGGGCCTCGCCGAGTGTTCAGCCCAAATACATATCCCAGGCGGTAAGTGGTTCTCATACTTTATTCAATGAGCTTCATTTATCAACTTGAAATACTCGGCGCCAAGTATATATTCCAGGCGGTAAGTGGTTCTCATACTTTTTTCAATGAGCTTCATTTATCAACTTGAAGCTCCAGTGGGTTACCTCCTTCCAAATGTTTTAGTAAAATATCACTCTTTCTACTGGTTGCTCATCTTTCTAAGAAAGATCCCATATCTTTTACTTATTTTTTTGGAAATTTTATTGCCAGTTATTATAGTTCCTTTGGGCATCCATTTGCATTTGTGCATGCACTCATGTAGATTGACAGTCTATGTATGGGCCAAACTTAAACCCAATATTGTTTTCTTAACACTCATCATGGCCTTTGGATGCATGTCTTTGTTTAATGCCCCTAGCCCCTGTATGTTACTTATTTACCCTAAAGATGATGCCTTTTGATGCAGGAGCTTCAAATATGACTTAGATTCATCAATTTCTCCAAGCCTAGGTTAGATGATTAGGGTTAAAAGAAAATATTTTGCTAGAACAGTCAGCAACATGAATATAGCACCTTCAAAATTCTGTTTGTGATTTGGGTCCTGTAGTCTACTGAACTGGACCCAAACGAGGACTCCGCCTTTTGTCATTATGGAATTTTTTGCTATTTACTTGAACAACATGTTTAGCTTTTGGCTAAACCCTATGAAAGGCTGGGTCCTAGTTCACTCTAGGACTAGGCCTTTAAGCAACCCATTTGTAACCAAATTCTGGCCCATTGCTGTCATTATCATACTGGAAACGTAGAGTAAACAGAACTACGGTACCAAGCATTGTTGGTTGCGTGGCACTTTTGTGTACTTCACCTTGTTTTGTTAAAAAAATTAAACCATTTGGTATGATAATGCTTTTTGTACTTTAGGAGTTTATGCTTTATCCATTATTCTGATTGTGTCATTGTGCAGGTTCATTTCTTTTTGCAGAGTGGGAACTGGACTTTCTGATGAGGAGCTTGATTCTGTTGTAACCAAACTGCAGCCTTATTTTAGGTACTATTTAGTTACAATAGGTTGAACTTTGTAAGATTTTGGCCTCTTCCACAATGGTGTTTGAGAAACTGTTGAAAAACTTTCTTTGGGATGATGTAAATAGCCAAGAGCTAGGAAAATAAGATCTCTTTAATTGTCCGTCCATTTATTAGCTCAGCCAAATTTGTGGCATTAAAAATTGTTGTGTTATAATTTATTTTAGGTTTGGGTTATTTTATTACTTTGCCTAATTGCTTGTGTTTATATTTACTTTAGGGCATAGTTGTGTGATCTAATGCGCTACTCTTCATTCAGTGTTTTTTTCTTCTCATATTCCTTCTTTTTTCAAACCTTTCACTCATCCTAAAACCATGGAATATCATGAGCGAACTGGGTACTAGAGCCCCAATCGAAACAAAACACCTTTAGAGCTCTCAATACATGTTGTAAAACGTCTAATAGATTTTATGGGATGTTGATGTTAAGATCTGACTTATTAATGTCAGCACCCATATGATTGAATTGAATGGAAGACACATGGTTTGATTCACCTATATTTCCCTAGATCTAGGGTTATTCTGTATGTGATTTTTTTGAAGAGGTTTGTTCAAATTCTTTTACTTTTGAAGTCTTTAGGTAGCATTGGAGTCTGAAGGTGAAGTTTTGATATTGTAAGTCCTTTTGCTGCTAGGCAAGGATTAAAATTTCGTTTCAGTGCGTTGTTTCAATCACCTAGGAAACGGAAACGTTTCGATCCGTTTCGTAAACATAATGAAAAAGATATAAAAATCTATGAATTATTTTTTTAAAACATTGATTGAAATATATTAAAGTAACTTGAAATACCTTGAAACATTCCGAAATAATTGTGTAAATGCATTAAAATATTATAAAACATCTTGAAATATTATGGAATACCTCGAAATATTAGAATTTCGATTCCATCACAGTTTCGTTTCGGCCTCCTTGGAAACGGAATCGTTTCGAAACGATTTTTTGATCCTTGCTACTAGGTAAGGTTCATTCCTACACTATGTTGTGTGACTATGGTTAAAGAGTGTTGTCCTGTAGGCTTTGTTGATGTTGGATTTTTGGCTACATTTGATGATGGGAAGCCAGTGGGGATTGTTTGGTTGGATTTTCTATATTGGTCTGCAGATGGTGTTTGTTGCTTGACTACGATTCAAAGTTAGTCTTCAAAAATAGTCCTGCACACTTGTTTCTTGTGCATGCTTTCCCGTGATATGCAAATTATGTGGTTATGTTAGACGTTAGTGTGACTTATGCCTTTAATACGTGAAGTGGGTAGAGCCATCCTACGTCTTTTGTGGACACTAAATACTCTCTTGAAATTGGTCTAGAGAAGTTGGATGGAAGATATTTGAACAAAGAGACCACGATTCCCAGTGAGCTGGTTCATTCCTTAAGCTATAGACTTCTGAAAATGCCCTACTTGAATCCTGTGTTTTTAATGTAATGCAACTTTCTATCTGTCGTAGTTTTCTGCTGCTTGATATTTCTGCAAGATTTTTCGATGGTTGTTTCTCACACAAACTCTCAAAGGACAACGATGCTAAGGCCTATGACCATTAAAAAAAAAAAAAAAAGTTCATGAGATCTACCAGAAGTAAGCCCCTTGCCTGATATTATGCTTCACTGACCACTCTTATCACTCTTATCATAGGAGTTTGATTACTACCAGAATTTTTAGAAATTTATGCCAATGATGGTAAAAAAAGCTATGTTAGTGATGCACAAAATTAGAGGTTGTGGAGGTGATACGGTGCATGCCCATGCTTATTTGACTAACTCTTTAGACTTTATCTTACTCCAGGGGCAATACTCATACAATTTTTGCTTAGGATGACATGCAAAGTCTTAGTCTTTTGGTAGCTCGACTTGATGTTTCATTTACTTCTTCTTCTAATGCTCCTACTTCTAGGTTTGCTCATATATTTATGTTTGATGGTGCATTTAGTGCCTCATTCCCACGTACTCCTTAGATAATAGATTATGAAGCCACTAATGACATGACAAGTTTTTTTCTCCCTGCTCTACATATTCTAGTAGGTATAAAGTAAGAGTGACAATTGGATGTTTGTCATTTGTTTCTGAGAAGGGTTCAATTAACCACTTTTCATCCATATCTCTCTCATGTATTTTTCATGTTCCCATTTCTCTGCTAACTTCGTGTCTATTGTTACTAAACATCTTGATTGTTAAGTGACATTCAACCTTTTCACCCCACCCTTGGACCTTGTCTTGGAACTCAGATCATTTACCTTACCATAATCCATTGCATGGCCATGGAAACGGATTATGCCTTTGCTCACCCCCATTCCCCTCTCTCTTGGAATCTAGATCCCCTATTTAACCCTTGCACCAATTGACTCCACCGAACCTGGCCAACCAATCCTCCCCAAATTAGACCTCTTTCACACAACTAGTAGGGTTGTACTACTGGAGTGGAAGAGAGGGGAGTTGATGGTGGTCTACTATGGATTTAGAATATTTTGCCTTTCCCCTCTCTAGTTTGTGGTGTTAGCAATGTGCTTATGCATACAAATACATATCTATATGAGATAGTCAAACCATTTGGCTAAGAAAAGTGTGTGATCAAGACAAAGCAAATTAGGAAACAAAAAAGGGCAAGTTGTGCCATAGAAAAAAATGCCACAATAGCTATGGTTACTGTAATTGCTGATTCAAAAGTAATTATGGATCTGACCTCACTAGTACAGGAGGTTGAGTATGGATTAAATTTTGTTCTCGTAACTTCACTCTCCATCTAATCTTCCAGCCAAAAAATTTTGCTTTTAGACCTTTGACCCGTTGCTTAGTAGAGGTGTGGTTCTTTGAAATGTAATTTTGGGCCTCTTAGAGCGTGGTTCAAGGTCGCGGTATAGATAATCGACTTGGAGGGTCTGAGATGCATCAATAGTGGTGTCGCGACACGGTATCAGATGATACAACCTAAAAGAAAAGGTTGAATATGACAAGAGATTTAGATCATATCGCGGCATCGTAAAACGTATCAGCTGATTCGATGATGATAACTTGACGACTTGAGATTGACTCGGATACAACTCGGCTGAGTCGTGCAAGACTCAGTGTTTATACATAACATGTAACGATATCGACTTGGAAGGTATTGAGTCGGATATGACTCGGCTGACTTTTATCGATATCGGCCGATACTTTGAATCATGCCTTAGAGTCAAGTGGCTTGGAGCTGGGAACTACCGAGGTGGATGTTGGGGAGAGGGGTGTCGGGCCTTAAGGTGGGGAGTGGGTGAGAAGAGGGGGAAGAAAGTTGGAGCAGAAATGTTTGGTTATAGTATTCACTTTGTTCAAATGGGGTATAAAGGGTATTTGGATGCAGGACTGTTTGGAGGAATGTATAAGTTTAAGGGTAGAATATGGAAAAAGGCATTCGTTTATGTTGGTGACGATGGAATCTGCCAGAGGTGCCCTGTATTTTTTGAAACTACGAGGTTATTTCTTGGAATTATAAGATACTATAGGAGGTGCTAATGAAGTTTGCCCAAACATTATTAGCCTATTAGGCTGGCTAGGAGCAGACGTGTAGAGCTTTTGGGGATGTGAGCCAAAAACCATACTTGAATATGAGAAAATTTCCTGGTCTAATTCATGTATGATTTGTATTTTGCATTGGAGTATATTTTTGTAGCTCTCAAAATACTCAACCCGTTTTGCAGGAAAAATGAACACCCAAAGAAAGCCCCACCAAGCTTTTATCAAGTTACAAATAACTCAAAGGAGAGGCCAGATGTTTGGGTCGATAGCCCCGAAAAGTTAGCAATTTTATCAGTATGATTACAAGAAATATGCTTTTGTTATATAAATGTGTTTGATTTTTTTTTTTTCCTTTTATGCAATGCAGATCAATTATACTTTCTATTACCAGTGATATTCGAACGATAAGTTCCGAGGTATTGCCTTAGAAAAATATTTGTTTTTTTAAATTTAATTTGCTTAAGTAAATTTCAATCATAGTGAGACCACATATTTTTAATTATGTAACTTGATTGTGCAATCTCCATTCCTTGACCTTATTGTAGTTTCTCTTCTCGATTCTCAGGTCTTTGCTGCACCATACAGCTTAAGATTTCCACGTATTGATAGAGTGAGATATGACAAACCTTGGCATGAATGCCTCGATGTGCAATGTAAGCAGACGACCTATATCAAAAAGCTTTTATGGTTGTACTCGTCCGAGTTAATTCCGAACTTTTGTTTTATGTGGTTGTGGCCCTTCTCTTTTATCAAATTAATGGCTTAATAAATTAGGTGAATTTATGGTTATGTGCCACGTGCATTTTCATTTGATCAATTTATGCCATTGCCACAGCTTTTGTAGAATTGGTACACTCAAGCAACGGTACCACACAGAGAGGGGCAGACTATGGAGTTGTGCAGCATGATAAACTAAAACACATGAAAGCCTCAAAAAGGGGGAGAAGAAGAAAGTCTGTGTGGTTCCTTCTCATTTCATGCAGACCGATGTTTCTCATGTCAAAGGCGAAACATTGATATTTTCAAACATGATGTTCTGTATCCTATGGCCCTATCTGCTAAATCTTTACTTCATTTTATGTTCCACAAACTGATTAGGGTCCAACTTAATCATCTAAAAGATGTAGTGTTTGCATCAGATTTATGCCCAACAGTTGTATTTATGTGGGGCTACCTCGCGTTGTGTTGGACGTGTATAAGAGTAGATTCGTACTTGCTTCACAAGTCTGTACACATTAAATTGTTACACTGTACTCTAAGAAGCTGGTAGTAAAACAAAAAAGTCATTGTAATATGAAGTTATGAATGTCTAGTATGCAAGGATCAAAATGTCGTGTCGACACGTCCGAAACGTTTCGGAATTTCAACACTCCGAAACGAAACAGTAGTTGAATCACAAAATTCCAGTGTTTCGGTCGAAACGGTACTGTTTCGGACCGTTTCGGTCGAAACGGCATTGTTTCGAACCGTTTCGATCGAAACAGTACCGTTTCGACAAAACAGTGATATATTCGGTTCATTATGAATAATTACATTTAATACCCCATTATAATTACATTTAATACCCACTGTAATTACATTTAATACTCACTATAATTATATTTAATATCCCACTATAATTACATTTAATTCCCACTGCTCTTCTGTCTTTTATAATTTTTTTGTTATAAGAATAAATAATTACACTTAATACCCTACTATAATTATATTTAATACCCATTATAATTATATTTAATACATACTGTAATTATATTTAATACCTCACTGCTGTGCAAGTTTTTTGCTTTTTTTTTTGTTATAAGTATTAACAATTATATTTAATACCCTAATGTAATTATATTTAATACCTACTGTAATTACATTTAATACCCACTGCAATTACATTTAATTTTTAAGTATACATAAGTATCATTAATTTAATTTGATACCCTTCATTATTAGTATTATAATAAAATAGTATTATTAATTGGATTATATTACCGTAATAATATGATTTGAAGTAACTATTGTCATCATATTTATGTCACATATGGAGTTTCTCTAAGTAGCTACCCAGAGCCTACACCGATGTATGAGCCTGCTCGACACTCCACAGGGGAATGGATGTAACCATGTAAGTATGTACTCATTAGCATTTCATGTGTATTATAAGACCTTAATATTATGTAAAAATGTGTTTATTTCATAAAAATTAAGTGTTTGAAACTAATTTAAGTGACTTTCGCCTCAAGTCAAGCCTTTTTTTCCCTCAAATTTAAATTTATTCTTCTATAAATTGATGTTAACCTAATAAATATGTTGAATTAATAAATTATTTAGCATATCTTTATAAATTAATGGATTGCATTTGTGTTTCTATGCGTTTCCATATTTTTTCTGCGTTTCCATTGCGTTTCCGAAATGTTTCCGAAACGTTTCTATTTTTGAGTTGACCGAAACGGTACTTCGAAACGAAATTTTGATCCTTGCTAGTATGCTTTTTTTTTTGGAGGGGGTAGGGGGGGTGGGGAAGATAAGAATGTGAATGCATAATGTGCATGTTTTGTTAACAGTGAACTGGTATATCAGGTTTCCAGGGGTTTTCAGTAAGCCCCGTGAAAGCAGTGAACATGTTTTACCCTCTTAGTTGCTTATAATGTCCATATTCAGTGCTGTTGTAACTCAATGAGGCTTTGCCAGCATAAATTTTGAAACTCTTTTGGGTCATACTACCAAAACTTCCTTGACATGTATAGACTTTGTTAATCTTCCTCCAGGTCATTCGCTAGATTCCTTACACAAAATGGTGGTTGAGAATGGGGGAACTTTCTCGATGAATCTAAATAACTCTGTTTCTCATTGTGTCACAGCTGAAAGCAAAGGTTTAGGCAGCAAAGCATCACTATGTTACTCATTCTATCTCTCTCATATTTGCATGTTTTAACACTTATACTGCATGGAAGATTTATTTGTAAAGGGAAATTCTGGCAGGGATCAAGTTTGAGGCAGCCAAGTGTCGCGGAGATATCATCCATTACTCTTGGCTCTTTGATTGTTGTTCACAAAAGAAGCTCCTACCTTTACAGCCGAAGTTAGTAGCTCTACTATTCTCACGTCACTCTAGATGTTACATTCTTACAAGATAGTGCAATTACTATAGTCTTTTCTCTACAAGGTATTTTGTGTTCCTTTCTGACTCTTCAAAGAAAAAGTTACAAGAAGAAATTGATGAATTTTCGGACTCTTACTACTGTGATCTTGACACCACAGACATCAAACAGGTATAGTTAAGTAGAACCATGCATTTGTCACTATTCGTGAAATCAGCAAACTAATGTGCAAATTCCTTTGCAAAATCTGGAGAAGGGGGGGAAATAAGGAGTAGTTCTATGGACACTCTGTAATCATATCCCCATGAATACTTCTTGTTGCATATGCTTAGATGAAGCTGTTGATCATTTTCTTTCAATTTTGGTTAATTTTGTTTCGTTTTCAGCTTTTAAGCAGCATACGTAGAATTGAAGACTCCAAGACTATTGACTACTATAAGCAGAAATTCTGTCCAAAGGATAAGTGGTCTCACTTTTATGGTTGCTGCATTTACTTCCACCTCTCAAAACCATCTTGGTAAGCTTCTCTCAAGTTTGTTTGACACTCTTTCACTAATGAAATTTTTACCTGGTATGATGGATTTGATTCCAATTTTACTCAAAAGCAGTTCTGAATGGAAAGTTTTATTGGAACTTGAGCTGACGAGGATGAAACTTGAAATCTCCATGGGTGGTGGCAAAGTCAGTGACAATCTTTCACGTGCTACGCATTTATTGGTCATGTCTTTTCCTGGATTTGATGTGGATTTCGATGCAATATCGAATAGGTAAGCAAAAATTCATCATGAAGTCAAAGAAAGATCATAAATTTTTCCCAAAGTAGTAATGGAACTACTTACATGATATATTCCTTGGCTGTGGAATCCATGAAAGCTTATTTATCAATTTTTTTCATTATTTGTAGAATCCTCCACAAAGTTGTGTGCTTGGCACCTCCATTATAATTGGATCTACATTCAATCCTATTGAAGTATAAATATTTAAGTTACACTATTTCTAATAGTTTAAACTTTTAGAGTAGATGATTGTTTAACTTGGTATTTAGACCAGGAGGTCTTGTGTTCGAATCTCGCCGCCACCCTAATAAATAATTAAAAGTTTCTCACGTGCTAGGCCCAAACTTTAGCCGGTATGTGGGGGAGTATGTTGAAATACTAATATTTAATTCACACCCTCTCTAATAACAACTACTATGGGCTATTATGAACAATTGTTGCAGTGCAGTGTGCCAGAGAAGGGTTAAACATGTTTTGGTCCCAGTTTCATTCTTGTTTTGATAAATGCTAGTATGCTTATGTAAGAAAAACTATAATTATAAGGTAAAAACATGTATAGTTAATTCATAAATCTATACTCACCTCTGTTTCCTATCTTTCTATTTAAGGTCCCATTGTTTTTGCTTTTTAATATGTCGATTAGTGCTAAACCAATCATATTCGCTAATTGTTACATTATCCGTATGTCTGTTAAAATATCAAGCGAGTTAAGCAATAAAATTCTCCAAAGACATTTGTCTCTCTAGAGATTTGCCTGCTACAGTGATAGAACCGTAGAAGTATAGGGCAAACCGTGAGGTTGTGGTTTTGAATTTGAGAGCAGTGCTTTGTGCCTAAATGTAAAATCTTAGTATCTAATCCAACCCTCCTAGCATATGTGATTAATGGGAAACTAGGTAATGACCCTCCATGGCCCCTAATTGTTTCTTATGTTGCTAGAATGGTTAATTATGGTTGAAATGTGGACTACAATTGATAGCAATGTCATTTAAATCATGGTATCATTTGTAATATGAAAATCATCTTTCTTTCTCTCTCTCTCAGTTTTTCTGCAGCAGAGAAGCATCTTTTACTTAGCAGAAGGTTGCATATTGTTCGGTCTCAGTGGTTGGAAGATAGCTTAGAGAAGGGCCAGAAGTTGCTGGAGGAGACATATAGTTTGAAGCCCAGTGGTTTAGGAGACTCTATTGGAGAGTGGTAAGTCAACATGCTTTTATTGGAATGCTCCTATTATGCCGATAAATACATTTAGATTCCTGCTGATTATGCATACGCTCATATGTACATCGATCAATGCTTTGAGATTCCTGCTAATTTTGTGTATTTTCCGAAGGACCTCCTATGCAAGTCCCCTATGCTATGAATTTTTCATGGTTTTGGAAATCTTTAGTAGTTTAGAAATCAAAATTTTGCGTGAGAAAATTTCAACAACTACATTGGAACTATGCTTGGCACTTATGATCATTGCATGATGGAAACAAAATCCCTATAGTGTATATGACTAGGTTAGTGCTAACAGTTCATGCTACGGACTGGCACCTAGAATGTGGCATATTATTTTTCCTTGTAGATATTGGAGCTGTAATATAAAATGTAAACTGTGCACATGTTGCCCTAACTGGTTTTGTTTAGTCGACGGATAATATTTAGAGTTATCGATATTGGATGAACTTGTAAAGAATGTCTGTAGTTATGAGGGAGGGTGGGTACTGGAGAAGTCTTGGCAGTTGTGAAGAGGCTTCTTAAAGTCACTAAACTGAAGAATGTGGTTGCATATCAGCTGTGAAGTACGGATATGGATACAGATACGGATATGGGTCTGGGTACGATACGATACGGATACAGTAATGCGACAAAATCTATAAAAAAAAGGATATGTGTACGGTCAAGATACAGCTATAATAAAATATATTTAATATTTTTATTATTTTCAATCAGCATAATACTTATATATTTTGGTAGTTATTTAACACAATAAGAAAAATTAGTAATTCTTTTTAGTTTGAAGAAAATATATATCGTATTACTATGGTATATTCACAAAGTGAAGTGATTAATTAAAGGAATCAAAACTAATATTTACCGAGTCGATTTATTTAGAAATAATTTTTGCTAAAACTGTAATGTAATAGATTTATTTTATGCTCTTTTGACATGTAATTGTAGATAATTCTTAAAAAATACTCATCTGCCTTTGAAGTAGTATGAATTTTGTAAATGTATTGTATGGTGTGTAAATTTGAAAGGAAATGTTAAAAATTCAACTCAAATTATATATATATATTGTTTGAACACAAAAGTATCCGTGAAGTATCCTAATATTAATTATTATCGGATACGTAGGAGGTGTATCCGATACGTATCCTCGAATATCCGACGAGTATCATATCCGATAAGGTATCCGATATGAATACGCCGACTTCAACGAAGTATCCATGCTTCATAGCTTATCAGTCTTGTGTAAAATAGTGTCCTATAGCTTTAGTTGTTTTCAGCCAGCATTTTATCTTTACAACATAAATATTTTTGCTCTAATTATGTTTTGTTACTTTCTATTTGCTGTCCCATATTTTTTGTCTTAGGCCCTAGTGATTATATGTTTCTTTACTTATTCGTTAGTATCTTAACATTTCTCTGAACAGAAATAGGTTGATATTTGTGAATAATTTGCTTATAGATGTCAATGAGAACAATAGTGCATTAATTTTCTCTGGAAGAGCATAACCATCCAGTGCAAAACTATATCATATTTGTCTGCCTGTATGAGTTTATCTAACGTACAGGCGTAGGGGTAGCTTATTGATAAGAATAAAAAGATAACTGAAAATGAAAAGAATGTTCATCATTCTATTTTATTATATATTTTTACACTCCAAGCTGATGCATAAGAAATGCCTTAGCCAGCCCTTTTGGTCAAGACATCTGCCAACTGCTCCCCATGTTTCATAAAAGAGTGTGCCAGTAAGACCTGGTTTTAGTTTCTCTTTAACAAAATGTCATTCAATCATATGTTTTGTTTTGTAGTAACCAAGCACTTGAAGAAGTGGGTTATGTGCAATATTGATGGTCACTAGATTTTTGCAACAAAGTCTCATTTTTTTTTTTGATAGGAAAATAGAAATTTCATTCAAAAAGAAAAAGTTTACAAAAATAGTGGATAAGAAATCCACTTACAAGATTAAAAAAAATAAAAAAACAAATTAAGATCTACAAAGAGTCATCCAGTTATGTTGTAGAACTAATAAAGGGGTGACACGAAACTCTTTAGTAACCACAGTCCAAAAAGAAGCCAAAAACTTCACTCTATCCCATAATAATTCTTCGTCCTCCTTATCTTCATAAATTTTGTTGTTCCTTTCTATCCACAACATGCAAAAAATGGCCAAAGTAATACGTCACCACAAAATGAAAGCTTCTTACCCTTTCCAAAACCATCAAAACACATAACCAATAGAGATGCACAATTAGGAGTCTCCACCCACACCAAACCCGCCTCCTGGAACAACTTATACCACAAGAAATAAGCTTTAGGGCAATGAAGAAACAATTGATTCACACTTTCACAACTTTTCTTACACAACACTAATAAGGAGAAATACAAGTGGTAGGCCTTCTCTTTTGCAATACATCACAAGTATTTACCTTACCGTGAGATATCATCCAAGCAATCACTTACACAACAAAAGTCTAATTGGGACACATGAACCAGCATCAGGCTCTAGAACATAATTAGTAACCATGAAATTGCACACATGAATGTCATATCTTAAATCGACATAATCATTGGATCTTGCAACTCTTATTGTTTTGCAACTTTATTCCAAGCCAGCAAGTTGCCTCCAACAAAGGGACAATAGGCTGTCTACGAATGTTTCAAATAATAAACTATCTATTTGTTACTAATCTTGCACAATCTGCATCTGTGTATGACTCTATACTTGAATAATAATGTGATGGTGGCAAAATTGTATAACATGACTCTCCACGCTTGCAATACAGGCAATATCTGCTCGGTTATATCATATAGTTTAGCTTGCTGGGCTTGTTTGTATCATCACCTTTCATAAAATGATTTGTCTCAATCAGAGTATCATGACACATGCAAATCAGCATTCTTGTTTCCTTTAACAAGTTTAAAACATTTTTTGCTGGGAAATACAAATTGAAATATTCAGTTTTACAACTTTATTCCAATAAAATATTTGACGTTGCTCAAGTGTTTTACCTTGAACTCCTTGGGTAAAGACAATTTCAGAGTAATTAAATAAAGTGTCTTTATTGTGGCGCCCATGTCTTTGTCCTCATTAAAAAAGATAATTTTTTTTGAATGGGTTAGATTGCGTCCAGGGTGTTTGACATTTTAAACCTTACCAATATGTGCTCTCCTCATTTGCTGTCCCCTTTTTGTTGAAGTGGAAGAATGTGGCAGTGTTTTAACTTATGGTGTGTTCTATGTTTCTATTGAAGCAAACGTGATCTTGATCTGGGCGATAATTCTAGCTTCGCCGATGTAGAGAAACAGATTATGTCAACTGCTCGAGGAAATCTGGGAAAAAGAAAAGCTATCTTAGATAAGCCAAGAATCATCAACTCACCCATGACAGATGGAAGAAGGATAAGGGGAAGACCCCCTAGTAAGGGCATAAATAAAGGGAAAAAGGGGGTCTCCCAGGCTCGAAGAACGAGGACACGCATTGGAACCAGCTTGCGATATTATATGAAAATGAATCAGATACTAATGCCTGTTCAGATGAGAACGCTGTTAAAGAGTCTGAAATGGGAGGAAGAAATCATGAAAGCCATGGAATGGCAGGCAAACCTTGCCCAGGAATCCTAGAGGATGAGATGGTGGAAGATTCTGATATATCACAAAGAGGCAGGCATGTTGGGCAAGAGATTGCAGATGATATTAAACGTGGAGAATGCTTTGATGAAGTTCACAGAATTGGATCAGGAGATGGGAATATTGCCCAATGCAGTGAGAAGCTTGGAAAGCTGGAAATGATGGTCGACCCAGTTCATGCTGTGTATTAGACATGATACCAAGTTTTGGAATGAAGAAAGTTGAAAGTACAGTTCCTGTCCTGAAGCTGAAATGCCTCCACCGAACATGATATCAAGCTTTGAAACGAAGAAAATCGAAAGGATAGATCCCGTTCTTGAAGTTGAAAAGCCACCTCTAGATCTCGGTCCAGAGCCTGTAAAGAAACGGAAAGTAAGCTATAAGGATGTTGCAGGTGTGCTGCTCAGGGACTGATGAGTCATCAAGGCTTAACAGAAAATCTATGTTAATAGAATGCAAAGCCATTTGGGGTTAATGGATACTTTTGCATGTTGTAACTTGTAAATTCTGTGTGCATCCTTACTGATGGAGTAATTGACTCTCATGTTGCTCTTCTATGAAATACTAAAACCCTTCCATGCATTTTTGTACTGATGAAAACATGTAACTGAGAGTCACAGAGGATTATCTTGAGGCACTTTCCCCTGGATTGGAAAATGGTAATTTGTCACGGTTTGGAACATTGTCACTTGCTCCATACAGTTAACATCAGGAAAGATGAACATCTGAAACCTTTCCCCAAAGTACTATTGTAATTTATGTCTCTTCACATATAAATAGCATTATCAAAAATTCAGCACATAATTACTTAGATATTTATTATTCCTACAATAGTACTTTCAGGCTGATACTTTGTACTCCTTGCATTTGCAAAACCACCTTATATAGTACTTGCAATGTCC